GCTCTCTCCTCCCTTCAGTAGCAGCCTGTGGGCGGAAGAGAGGAGTACAGCAACTGAAAACATCTCCTTGTGTGTGCAGTGTTCATCCTTCCTTCCTTAGAGTGACATAGACAGGGATTTTTTCCCCAGAGAATAGGTACAGGAAATCCCCTTTTCTGAGTCACCCATTGTCTCCGCCCCTACCCACCTCTGAGCGCCGTTCCTTGGTTTTATCCCTTACCCTCCTCCCGGTATCATCCTTTTAGAGAATACAAAACCAAGTATAATTTAATTTGTGGTGCTAAGTAATTTGTATTGAATTTGTTAGTGATAACAAAAAAAGCAGTAAAATAGATCCTGTGCAGCCAGCAACAATAGACCCACCAAGCAACAATGGGCCACCTGGAGAATAATCCCCCCCAGCAGCAATAGACCCCTGCGAACAACAACAGACCTGCAGCCAGCATCAATACACCTCCTCACTCAATAGTAGATCCCTCCCAGTAACAACTGACCACCCAGCAACATAAGACCCACCCCATCAACAATAGATCCTCCACCAGAAACAACAAACCTCCACAGCAACAATAGACCTCCAGGAACCAGAGATCCCCTAGCTGTGAGCATCAATAGACCCTGCAGCACACCCCAGCACCCGTTGCCATTACATAGTCAGTGTTGGAGGTTCCGGAACTGCGTTCCTACAGAAAAAAAGCCCTGGACATGGATATGTGAATATTGTATCACATGTAAATTGACCACCGTTTATATGCAAACAATTACTTATACGTAAATCCCACCACCACTGAGTTCCCACCCACCCTCTCCTTTGCTGAATACCGCCCAAGAAGTGGATGCGAACAGACGCAGGCTTGGCAGTCCTGCCTGCCACTGCTACCACAAAATGTGCTGTCAGGTATAGTATTTAAAGAGTTCTGTAACACTGCAGCAGTGGGAAAGGGAGTTAACCATTTGGAGTGCAAAAGTAAGCAAAGGCTTGATGTGAAGAGGTAAGCAGTGGGGGTGTAGAAGTGAGCTGGAGGACATGTAGAAGTAAGCAGAGAGGGGTTGGGGTCTGAAATGCAAGGGGATTTAGGCTGCAAAGGTGGGCTGAGAGAGGGTGGATAAAGATGCAGAGATTATCAGGGAAGGTCACTATAAATACCTTAGTTAGGGCTTGTTTACACATGCAACAGCCCTTGTTGCACCCCCGAGAAACAATCTGCAATGAATCAATTTTCAGATGGTGGTTGACAGGCGGCTGGGAAGCGCAATGTCACCCCCTCACCACCTGCTTTATTCTGCAAAGGCCATGTTGCTCCATAGCAATTACTTGCACTACGGATGTTAAGGCACAACCCCACTACCTTACATGGATCGTTATTGGCAACAGTACTGCACGCCAAATGTGATGGGTTGTAATTTTTTCCACAAAGCAACTATGGTTTGCAGCTTGGGAAGGGGGAAGTCAGGGGGCAGTAAAACCACAGCTCAATCACCCCTTGACCGCAAGTGTAAACTAGGCCTTACATTGCTGATCACTGTTAATGTCCTGGTTATATTGGTGATTAGTGTAAACCTTCCCTTACATCGGTGGTCAGTGTAAACACCCCCTTACATGCCGATTATTGTAAATGTGCCACAGCGACACACAGTGCACATGGTTTTGGGATAGCCTCATTTACTTGAATGGGTCCCATGCTGCAAGTAATACTGCTCACCAAACACGAACGGGATTATTTTTGCCATGCTATGATACCAAGCATCACAGTCATGACTGGTTTTGCAGCTTAGAGGTGGTTGGGGGGGGGTAGGTTGTAATCATTGCTCTATGTGCCCAAAACACTACATACATTTCAGCACTGCCTACACTGCTCTAACCCTGTCTCCCAGTTCCTTCTAGGGGGGGGGGGGGGGCACAGTTTGGCATTTTGCCCTGGGCACTAGATGATGTTATCCCACCACTGTACACATGTGACCATGTAAATACGTATGCAAATTAAATTAAATATGTGATCATGTAAAATGAAAATCAGAAAAATATTTTATTTGGGGCAGTCCAAACATTCTTCAGAATTCAGACTTTATCTTCTGTTAAGCATGAAAATGCAATATAGCTACTGCCTTGGAACTGTGAACTTCAGTGATGAAGTTCCTGTCACCTGGCGGTATGGAATGTTCTTACAAGGTCCTAAACCTCAGAAATGGAGGTATAGCTTGCTCGTACTCCTTTCCCTAAGGGTGGATGACCACTGCTTGGAACTGCTGTGCTTGTGTGTCTGTTACCTTCCCAGTCTGAGATGACACTGCCATTGAATGACTTGTTTGAATACAAACTCTCTGAACTCAGCACAACACTCAGCCCACAGGGCTTCTAAGGGACAAAATGAAGGCTCCCTTAGTGCAGTATTTTTAAAACCTTTTATTAATGCATGCACCATAGAACAATATAAAAGTAGCAGCAACATGTGACATCAGTGTGTTCAACTCCACCCAATGTGTTTTGTCCAATCAGACGTCATCAGGAGCATCATCATAGCACACAAAAACTGAATAAACTAAAGTTTTTCCTCCCAAACAGATTGGTTGTGTGCTTTTTAGTAAGCAGCAAGCATGTAGCTATAGCCATAGAACACTATGCAACTGTCATGGGGCCAACAAACTCATGAGGCCTAGAGCTGTCTGTCTACACCATTATATAGCATATGCAGCCAATAATAGACTTTGACAAAATGTGGATGAAATTAATGTATATAAACCACTATACAATTGCTGTAAAAATAATTAGTATACTGTATGAAGTTCTAGAGCAGAGATGTCAAACTGGCGGCCCTCCAGCTGTTGCAGAACTACAAGTCCCATCATGCTTCTACCTTTGTGAGTCATGCTTGTAACTGTCAATCTTGTCATGCCTCATGGGACTTGTAGTTTGGCAACAGCTGGAGGGCCGCCAGTTTGACACCTGTGTTCTAGAGGGATGCTGTTAAGATGGCGAGTAGAAAGACAGGAGGCCCCTTAAAGTGAACCCTAATTCTATCTTTCAATATATTTGTTACAATGGCTTACCTTATCAAGTTTTCAGAAGCAAATATATTTATTTTTTTATAAATCTGTTGTAAAGTTTCTTATTTGGTGATCTTGCCAGCAACAGCACTTTGTGTTGCAGACTGACAGCCCAAAGTCATTGCCTGCTATGGGCGCTCAATCAGTTGGGCCTTGGAGTGTTTATTTATCTGATAGATCTGATATACAGACTAACAGCTTTCTATGAGAGCACATGTAGCGCTACCTTCTTGAGGGGCCACTGTGTTTCAGGATCCCTCTAAGCTTCGCAACAGCCAGGCAACAAGCATTTTCCACACTTGCATTCACAGTCAATGAACAGTCCATGAGCCTGGCCTTTGTTATTTATTAGGGGATGTTTCTAGGATAGAGTAATAGGGATTATGTCATTATGGATCAGTAGCAACTGCCCCTCTTTGGCTTGGGACTCTGTGCCCCTCTGAAAGTTAGCTTAGCTTGTTGCAAACTACATGTAAAGATGTCTCCTCTGCTCTGTAGAACTGTTCCCAGCTCCACAGCCTTCAGACACTACCAGCCTGCTCTGAAGATCTCCCAGGACAAGGATAAAGGATGAAGCACAGCACTGTCCTTCGAAAGCTTGCTACATTTGTCAGTCTCTCTCCTTGTAGATCCCTGGGTGTGCTGATGTACTCACTCTGTCTTCCATGCTCTCAATGCTCCCAGGCCTTGATCCTGTTCATGCTGGGATGCTGAATGGACCCTGCTGAGCCAGCCTATACATAGCCTGGAGGCCATCCCTCCCCCAGACCTAGGGGACCCCTACCAGGCCAACGACAGTCTCCTCAGTACTTCATCTTCCACTCAACTACCAGTCTGACTCTACCATATTTATGGGCTAGTCTCACCACTCTACCAGGGCCTTCAAACCTGGGATTGGTTAAACTCCCATAAATGTGCAGATTGGGTCTCCACCCCTTCCATCCACTGGCTTATGGATGGTTCCATGGTCCTCCAGAATCAGGTGGAGGTGATGGAGTCCCAACCTGTTAAGCCATCCAACCTGCCTGCAGTAACCTGACCTGATTTACAGACTCACACAGTTACCATGAGTCATACACAATAAATTTGCCAACCTTATTCTTGTAGCACACTAGAGGGTACTACACACACATGGCAGGCTGATAAAGCTGCTGCTAATTGTGAGGTAGTGGCTTAGCATTGCCAGTCTGCTACAGGAAATGCTGCTACTGGCAGGATCTCTAGGTAAGAAACTCTACAACACAAAAATATAATGGTTATACTATGGAGGCTGACAAGAGGTATAAGTATTCCTCTAGCCAGACTTTATAAGCAACAGTGTGTGACACTGTATAAAATTGGTAAAAACAGATAGAAAATTATTAATTTCTTTATTAAAACATCCTAAAACATACATTAACGAGAATACATGATGGCTGACATCGCACATCATAACTACAAATATCTCTGCATTACAGCAACACCCAACTAATACCTGATCTGGGCTTTTTCATGATTGTATGTATTGTGTCAGTATTTTCCCCACAGTTGGAATAGCCCAACTCATTTCATTTTTATATAGTTCTCAGCTGTATGGGTATGCCATTCTAAAATGAAATGATAACAGATTATAATGTATTCGTTACATAGTATAATATGACAATAACCATAGTACTGGTCTTCACTACTCTTTTTATCAGATTCAGTATTTTACCAGCCAAGTTTAAAAAGATCTAGGTGGCTCACTTCTAACCAACAAAGGGTAAAGGCAGCCTCCAGAAGGTGCTGCATGCACACACAAGGGATCAAATAAACATCCTAGAGCCTCTGCAATGAACAATATACACTATACAGTATTGCCAAAAGTATTGGGACACACCCTTCCAAATCATTGGATTCAGGTGTCACCTCCATGGTCACAGGTGTATAAAATCAAGCACCTAGGCATGCAGACTGCTTCTACAAACATTTGTGAAAGAATGGGTCGCTCTCAGGAGCTCAGTGAATTCAAACGTGGTACTGTGATAGGTTGCCACCTGTGCAATAAGTCCATCCGTGAAATTTCCTTGCTACTAAATATTCCACGGTCAGCTGTTAGTGATGATATAACAAAGTGGAAGCAACTGGGAACAACAGAAACTCAACCATGAAGTGATAGGTCACGTAAAATGACATACTGAAGCACACAGTGTGCAGAAGTCGCCAACTGTCAATGTCGTGTGGCCTTCAGATTACTACAACAGCAGTGCATAGAGAGCTTCAAGGATTGGGTTTCCATGGCCGAGCAGCTGCATAAAGCCTTACATCACTATGTGCAATGCAAAGCATTGGATGGAATGTTGTAAAGCACGCCACCACTGGACTCTAGAGCAATGAAAACATGTTCTCTGGAGTGACTAATTACTCATTTCTGTCTGGCAATCCAATGGACATGTCTGGATTTGGCAGTTGCCAGGAGAACGGTACTTGCCTGACTGCATTGTGCCAAGTGTAAAGTTTGGTTGAGGGGAGATTATGGTGTGGGGTTGTGTTTCAGGGTTTGGGCTTTGCCAGTGAAGGGAACTTTTAAGATGTCAGCATACCAAGACATTTTAGACAATTTCATGCTCCCAACTTTGTTTAAACTTTTTTGGGGATGGCCCCTTCCTGTTCCAACATGATAGCGCATCAGTGCACAAGGCAAGGTCCATAAAGATATGGATGAGCGAGTTTTGGGTGGACAAACTTGACTGGCCTGCACAAAGTCCTGACCTCAACCCAACTGAACACCTTTAGTATGAATTAGAGCGGAGACTGTAAGTCAGGCCTTCTCGTCCGATATCAGTGCCTGACCTCACAAATGCGCTTCTGAAAGAATAGTCAAACATTCCCATAGACACACTCCTAAACCTTGTGGACAGCCTTCCCAGAAGAGTTGAAGCTGTTATAGCTGCAAAGCGTGGGCCAACTCAATACTGAAACCTATGGACTAAGACTGGGATGCCATTAAAGTTCATGTGCATGTAAAGGCAAGCGTCCCAATACTTTTGGCAATATATTCAATATAACCATAGGTGTATATGTAGGGGTGTATTGGTTAGTATAAAAAAACTTCATTCATTAGCTATAGATTGCAATGATCATTGATATTCAGTAAGAATAACTTTGAGAGATTGGTGCTTGTTTCTGATATTGAACTGGCAACATAAAAAAGTCTATACATATACAATGTAAAAATGTATATATCTTTGTTTGCTGTTTTGTTAAAATTTTAAAAATCAAAAATGATGTGCCATTTTGGATAAAACACAAATAATTTGCTAGTGATTCCCAGACTTTAGCCCTGCTTTAATTAGCATGTTTCAGTTACTTGTGAAGTTTGGTTTAAATGATGTTAGAATGCATTAACATTTTACATTACATCTCTGGCTGTACTTTTTTTAAAAGAACCCAGTGTAATGTTTCAGAACATTGTTGATCTTTCAACAGGTATGATATGATGTGCTTTTTACTTGAAAGCCTGTGATGCACAACTAATTGCTTGATCAAGTCAATTGTGTACCTTTTGTCTTGGATAACGTAATGGGTAAATATAAAGTTCCATGTTGTGTATTCAGTCATGTTTGTATTATGACATAGTAGTCTATGTAAAAGTTTCAACAATATCTTTTGCTTGGGGCTATACATGACCGTGAAGAAACTTAATTAACCTAGTGAGGTTGCTAAGAGAAGGATCCAAAACATACAAAAAATATACAGTATAGTCTACATTAAACAGAAAAAGGAGTCGAAGAGCACCTGTTGCCTTGAAGAAAATTATAGACTGCGAAGGAGGAAGATTGGTAAAATGGATACTTTGGAAGCTTAATTTCCCATATTTACTGATTTCTGCCCATCCCGTCCTTTGCTCCTCACCCCATTCCCACTTTTGAATATGCTTGCTGTAATTAAGTTAACTTATGGAAGATTTTGGTGTCATAGTGATACCTAATAGGCTACCATAGTTTATCCCTGTTTTGTTGTCATGGTAACAGCCAAGCAGTATGAAAAGACAGGACAGGGGCAACTTTAAAATTTTACTAAAACCTTCAAAAACAGAAAAACCAAGTGTATGTCTTTACATTCTGGAAGGTCTCCATACAAATTGTCCTGTAGTGAATCCTATCCCTGCAACATAGAATAGATTTCATTAGTAGCTCATTAGTTTCCAGTCAGGAGTATATTTAGAGAAGAAAGAAAGGAAGGAGAATTACAAAAAGGATAGAGAGTTAAGCACATTCTACATATTCCAAACTTAAAAAACCACAGTGCTTAGCAAAATTGTTCAGATAATATACATAAGATGTTAGTTCATTCAAACAGTGCTGCGTGTTCATATCTTCCAACCAATCTTCCAATAAACAAATCTTCCTTAACAGTTTCTTGGTGCTCAAACAATTTAAAAAAAAAGTGCTTTGTGACCCCTGCCCTTATTCACACCTCACTCACCAGATTGGTTGGGCAAAGAGTCCAACCGATCTGGTAAGTGAAGTGTGAATAGGGGCAGGGGTCACCAAGAATTTTTTTTTTCAAGCACTTGCTAAGTGAGGCCTAGCCATTACTGCTCACCCCAACCATCACAGGAGTAAATTTATTCTCTAAATTCAGACCTCTTCACATGCTCTATATCTCCCCTGATACAGTAGCTCTTAGATCAGCGTTTGAGAAATCACTCTTGTAATGGAGGAGGTGAGCAGTAATGACTAGGCTTCATTTAGCAACATTCTAGAAATATTCTAGTCAGGCTTCATGAAGTATATAAATGGCCTACACCTATAGCAAGGACATTATTCAACTTCAGTCAGAGCTGCCCAGTTTGTTTTTATCTACGGACACCCTTTCTCTGCATAGGCAGTTTTTTGGTAAAGATGACTAACCCTTTATGGACATGTAGCTTGGTATGGTTGAGGGGGAGAGGTTTTAATATTCACTAATCCCACTTTTTTTGTTCTGTTTTTGCAGGGCATGCTAACCATTATGATCTTAAAAGGTTCCACGCCCACTGGGACCCCCTGACTTGTTGCACACTTGACCCCTGACTTGCTCACACTTGCTGCCCCACTTCTTTCCTGGCCACCCAGGCTGCATGCCTAGGTAAGAGTCAGGTGTCAATTTAGCAGAGGCACACAAAAGAAAAAAACAAAAAGTGGCATGGTTCTCCCAAGATCCATATCAGGCCCTTATCCAGTAGAGTTGGGCTTGATGTTTGACTCGAACATCATCCATTCATGTTTACGGCAAACACACAAATGGTAAGTAAGTTCGGCGGGCTGTTCGCCCACCCCACCCCACAATGTACTGCGCCCTGATAGTGCATTGTGATTGGCCAAACCAATGCACCTGGTCAGGTGCAATACTTTGGCCAATCACAGCGCATGATGATGTCACAAGTGGTGGGACGACCTTGTGACATCATTACAGAAGAACTGTCAGGCCGGTACAGCAGTCAGACAGCGGGAGCCAGGAGGGGTAGCAAATATGAGCCCACAACCCTCAACTGAAGCTGGTGGGGAAGGACTTGTCATAAGCAGCAATACCTTTTATTTTCTTAAAATTACATTTTTGCTGGAGTACATCCTGCAAGTGCACCACTTCACTTGCAGGTTTAAGGCTACGTTCACACTAGCTTTGTCAGCAGGCGTCAGACAGGCATTTGGGAAGCGCTTTTAACGCCTCTCAAAATCCTGTACATGGCAGCACACAGTGCTGTTCACACGAAAGCGTTTGCGTCGCGGCAAAACTGATGCCTCTGGTCGAGTCAGGAGGAGTTGAAGTCTCCCATTCAAGTCTATGGTGTCACTCCACAAACGCCTGTCCGGCGTGTGTGGTGCGGTTGTGACGCAGTTGCGAGGTGGTTGCGGAGCATTAATATCATTTAAACTTCATTATAGGAGTTTGTGGTGCGGTTTTAATGCTTGGCAAATGCCTATCAACCACCTCAAACCCGCGCATAGGGCGTTTTTCGGAGCATTTTTGGAGCGTTTTCGGAGCGTTAAAAACACTTCACAAACACCTGTCTAATGCTTGTCAAACGCTATAGGGGCGTTTGGCAAGAGTTAGAAATAAAGTGTAAGGCATCACTCAAGCATGGTATTAAAGAACTGTATATTTTTAACTACTTGATCTCCGGAAAGGTTTTACCCCCTTCATGACCGGGCCATTTTTTGCTATTCAGCACTGTGTTACTTTAACTGGCAATTGCTCCATGATGCAACACAGTTTTAATTTGTCGTCACAAGTTTTTGGAAAATTAAGAAAGTAAATAATAATTTTTTTTCACAATTTGTTTTTACATACTGTCACCAGTGCAGTACAGCGTAATCATATGACTGGTGTGGTGGTGATCATGGATACTGACTATGTTTTCTAAAAAAAAAAATAAAAAATTAGATTTTTTTAATTCAGTTTTCTTTTGTTAAAAAGTTCACTGAGCAAATGTGACATACATCTGCATAGCTCCAGGAAAACTTGCCATATTCTGTGCTATATAATTATCTTATCTGACTGCAAGCTCTATCTAGTGGCCATAATGCATATAGCACAGAATATGGCAAGTTGGTTTTTCATATACAGTAAGTTTGAAGTTTAACCCATGTATATTTTCCATTCCTCTTTCCTCCCTCATTAATATACTAATAACACCTAAAACCTTTCCATTTTAATCACATACCTTATTTTAGACCTAATGATGTCATAACTGGGTCAGGGTGCTGTACATAGCTTTTTGTAAACATCAAAGTACCCTACCACAGTACTCCTCTCAAGAACCCTCAATACAGTAGTGGCTGGATCTTGGGAGGACTTGTACAAATTTTAAATTGCCTAGATGGGTGGATAGTAGTATGGAGGAGTGAGCATTTCTAGGCAAGTTACATTTGCATGCTAAATGCCTTAGGTTATGCCTACATGTGATGCTAAGCCTCCATGAGTGAAAGAACTGAAAATAAGTTAACGAAAGGGGTCGGCCAGGGAAAGTCAAGCTGGAGATAAAGCAGCTAAATAATGCTGGATGTCCTACAATCAGGAATATAAACAGTATCTTTCTGATTTACTGTAGTGTGTGCGGCAGCTTCAGGAGATTCTTAAAAGTGGCGTTATTAATGCAACAAATCCAAAAACAATAGATAATGAAACTAGAGACAATTAAGACCTATGCTAAGTTGGCATACAGAGACAGGCAGAGTGGCTGTTCCTGTACGCAGTGTAGCAGAGTAGTATTTTCCACCGCTACCATCTCCCTGTCACTGGTTGTTAAGGATTCTGTCTGTTTCACAGCTGACTGCCTCCTAGCAACCAAACACCCCCTGTGTTTGGTTCACGGTCGAAGGTTCAACCCTAATGAATGTTTGACTGCAAACTTCGAACTCAATGTAAGTCTATGGGACTCGAACTTGTAAACTCAAAAATGCCCATTTTGAAGGCTTATATGCAAGTTATTGGCCATAAAAGGGGTATGGGGATATGGATACTGCCCTGAGGGACAGGAATCAGTGAAATAAAATGTCAAAAAGTAGTTTTTAAAGGGGCAGTCATTTTTCAATGCAACAAAAAATATTAAAATAAAGTCCATAATCTTAAATGTATCCGTGCTTGGGTGCTCCAATAAAGAAATATGTGTAAAAGAAAAG